GCTTAATTTATAGTAGAAAGCGCTAGTAAAGAAAAAACAATTGAACAGTTTTTAAAAAATTTATGATCCGAAAAGAAAAAACAATTATAACATCACATAAAACATTGTATAAAAAACTAAATCAAAGCACCTTGTCTGTCGTATTTAATGAAATGTGCATAAAAGAAGGATTGTTGCCTAAATACACACACACACATACACATATATGTGTATATATGTATATATACATATGTATATATATATATATATACAGATATATATATATATATATATATATATATATATATATATATATATATATATATATATATATATATTATTACAAAATTAAATTCAGGGCTTTTAGCTTCCATTTTTTGAAACATGGTTAGAACTGTGTAGCGGAAAAAACATATTTTAAATCAATTAATTTATAATATTAATGCTCTGTAAGTTTACATTGAGTACTATTTTGTAAAAATAAAATATCTATAAGAACACCGGATTATATATCTTACTGTTCTTTTCTTTTATATATATATATATATATATATATATATATATATATATTATATATATATATATATATATATATATATATATATATATAATACATTATTTATGAATATACACCTTATTTAAATCATACGAAACTACAGCGAACAAGGACAGCAACACAACACAATTTCGACGTTCTCTCATAGAGAGATCAAAACATCAAAGGAAAAATTTACAGAAAGAACTTGTACAGATTATTGTCGAAGAATCCAGCTCAGTTCCTAGGAACCAACAGACCAGACACCAACACATATGATTTGATTATAGTGGTGAAGGCTCTGGAATTCGAACTCGGCTCTCCGATTCCCCAAACCTAGCCGCTATCCACTACTTCACTATATCCATATATGTAAAACTCTTAACAACATCAACAACGAACATAGTATATTTACAATTAAAACATGACCACGTAACGTACACTGCAGGTACAATAACACAAGCAATATCCTCACAAACGAAGAGGACACACAACGCAACAAATATATAATTCTACTGAAAGATATTATGGATAACATAGGTAGAGAATATGCGCAATGATGTAGTTTTACAAAAAGAATATCAACCAATGTTCGAATGATTAATAGCATCTGCTAGGCGGAAATTCCACTGAAGATGTCTCATAGATTAGCCGAAAGTTCTTGGAATAAACAACCATTTTAACATCTTTCTATATACACTAAAAGAAATCCTTGTTTTATACGCAAGCAAAGACGGAATAAACACAAGAAAAACGCAGTAATTCAACTAAATTCACTTTTCGTCTGCAATATGCTAACCGTGTGAGCAACGCACTTCTCTTTGGATTTTTCACTATCGGGAGAAAAATCGTATGAAATTTATATTATTGCATACGCCATCTTTTCTATGTATGTAAATGTGCACTTCCTTTTATTGATATATGCAAAAATATTCATCTTAAATCTACCGGAATAGGGAAAAATTTATTAACTCGTATCCGCTGGTTATTTCCATGTTCGACTTGAAGCCAAATTTGGAGGAACATATTTTTACGGAGATTCCCTACGCAAAAATCGGGAATAAAACCAAGAGAAATATTTGACAAAAAAATGGCGGCTTATGAGGTTTCGGATCAACAAGACGAACACAACATGTAAAATGGTTCTTTTTTCGGCTCTTACGACAAATCGATCGGAAAGAAGAGAAAAGCACCCATTTTGACGATGCCAGTGAAACTGTCTTGAAAGAATAAATAAATAAATAAGCGTTGCAGAGAACTACGGCTTCAATTCAATTTTTCGGATAATTTTCCGGGTGGATTGACGTTTTAATCGAGCCGCAGATCGGAATGGTGGAGAATTTGTTAAAACGATTGCGAACTTTTCAAAAGCAAAAAATATCAAAGATAAAAGTGGAAAAAAAAGCCACGAGAAATGCAAATATCGACTGAAAAATCGAACTTTTCATTTTACCGAAGCGAATTACATTGTTATTATTATTATTATTGTTGTTGTTTTGTTATTATTATTATTAACAACAACAACAACATTATTATTATTATTATTATTATTATTATTATTATTGTTGTTGTTGTTGTTCCTTCGACCCTTACTACGTACGTTACGCTCTGGCAATATCTGCAAATAATAGACTATTCCATTTTGATTTCGGGGAAAGACGGAATAAAAAATCATATCCGAGACGTTGTTTGGTTTCTAAAGAAGATAGAAAGAAAAATCGAAAGAATGATTGAAAAGAAAGATAGAAAAAAACGACAACATGGAGGACGTGGTCACACACTCATGTGTTTAACGTCTGATTCAGTGAAATGGAAAAAAAAACTGATCTAATTTTAAATTTGTTCATTGGTACTCTCTTACGTCTTTAAATAAATACCTACAGTAATATTTGAGATTGTTACTGCAAAGGAAACCATTTTTGATGAGACAAAACGTTGTCCAATCCTGCTTCACGACAATTCAACGACACAACTTACCAGTATGGC